TAGAGTTTTAAAACTTTTCTAAAAACAAATATTGCCACGAGATGCAGCGTGATCGATTACGCATAGTTGATCCGTCTTGAAGGCTACCAATCGTCACTAGGTGCCAGTCCTGGGATTCGTAGGTAATCCGATACAACGCCCGAAGCGTGGAAAATCAAGGTCTCACTTGACTCTCAATTTGAAAAGGACACCTTGGGCTATCAGTCTGTGAAAACAAATCAATACAATCCTATTGGAAAATTTTTACACGCGAGCTAATTTTCCAAAGATCCCCTGGAAAACCTGTTCCAGACAGTTCTTCTGGGAAAATTTTTGGTTATGAAAACATGTCCCCAAGTCTCCTCTTTCGAATGGTGAAAATTGAAGCCCTTTACCTTTTTCCTATCGAAAGTTATTCAAAAAACAGTCATATACCATTCTTTTTTTGGATGGACAATAGAGCAGATCGACCACTTGCTGCGTGAAAATATCGACTGACAACTTACACTACTCTCATCTAAATCTGAGTCAGCGCATGGCCTTTGAATTTCACGAACAAGTACCAAGTACATATGTTTGTTCTAAACATAGTTTATTTGACTCAGCAAAGGGTGGGCCCGTTACATGTTGAGAACAGTCGAAAAAGAAAAGTTGATTATCACAGATATATACTAAAAACATACACTCACATACAATAGTAGATGTTTGTAAATAGGAAGTCTAGGAAACCGGACTCTTTCCAACTTTCACTCACAGTCTATTTAGTGCCGTATCTGTTATAGCAGAACGTTGCATTAAAGCAGCCAAACTAAGAAGAAGGATTAGTTTATTTCTCAGGATTTAGTTTGATATTCTCCTAATCAATATGATGAGTGAGTCACTATACTGATTTTTCTCTTTATGTAGTCACTCGTCCAGTTTTCGATTTCACCTGTATACCATGAAATGATATTTTTTTCTGCTGATTTTTGACTTCATTATTGTATTTCATAAAGAGGGGTAGACAAAATTACGCTTGATCGACGTTAAATAAGAATGCAAAATAGCGTAGCGATGTATCAAGCATTATGGTAGGATAGAAAGTGCATTCTAAACTAAAGTGAGTAGCTGAGAGTATTTCTAATAGCAATCAATTGGTCTGATAGGTGTGAACACGTACTTGAATCCTACATACTTATGTCAGTTAAAAAGTTCTGTCATTTTCACTATTTATTCATAAAAAAGATATTCCACTAATCTATCTACAACAAGTGTTAGAGGTAATCACAATAATGGCACCATTAAGTTGGTTACACCTTTCACATATGATCTTGGATTGCCATAAAGGAGCTTAATGCCATTTGTTTCTAATGACGGTCTCCTGTTCAATATCTTTTAACTAATGGTTTTAAACATTCATCGCGACAATATTATTAGTATTAGCACATGCTCCGAAAAGTACCTGATAAATACGTAATGGTCCAGTTAACACAAGAAAGACAATAAAAAATCTTTCTATTCATATAGTTACTTCTAACGTTAGTCGTATGACTTTCTGCTTCTGCCCATGCTTTTGATTGTTATGCTGGTCCAATTTTGAAATGATAATGGCTCGTCCCCTTGTTCACCTCAACTTGCTTCTTAAGATTGTTGGCTGCTAAGTTATCTTAAAAGAAGATTAGATACATATATCCAGATGCGACATCAATAACCAAATACTAAATTCGATATCTGTTAATAATACAGTAAAACATTTGAAAAGTGGATTGAACGAGTAAAACTGTGTATCAAACATTATGGTGACTATCTCTAACACTTGCTGTAGATAGATCAATAGAATATCTTTTTTATGAATAAATAGTGGAAAGTGACAGAACGTTTGGACTGACGGTACTTAATTATGGGCAAGCAAATGCCTGTCATTCAAGAACAGCAACAGATCTCGATGGTGCTCTTACAGAAACTTATAAATGGGACATTTCGAACTATCTGGCCATCATCTTGTTTCAACAGTAAATCACATAAAAAAAAACGAGATTTTTAACTTCAGACATACACGAGAAGATAGAGTAAAGTCTCTTCAACAAAATAGTGAAACACCGAGCTCTGTTTTTTGGCTCTTGAAATATTCAAGAAACATACGCGAGCTGTTCTGTTGTGAAATGAATTTTAGTCTGATGTTAGTGATTTTACAAAGAGGACAGAATTGTTTTGATTTTCAATTCATAATACTTTTTTGGAGGTTAATGATCTGAGTTAACGAAAGTTCACTAAAGACCTGTCGTGACTTTTTTAACACCATTAGCAACTTTTTTTCAACTTTCTGTAGATGCTGGTGTAGACAGTGCATTTCTTTACAATATTCTACCGCTACATATACTAAATACAATACACTGTGAAAAACGAGATGCATTCATTAAAAAAAAATGCACATCAGGTGCCTCAAACGCGAACTCATTGTTGATCAATAAGGAAATATTTCCATGTAAAAGACGCGTCACGATGCCCTACGCCGAATTTCAGTTTTATGCAGCCATGGTGTCTTCGTGCGACATCGTGGATGCTTAGTCGAGGCATTTTGGAGACATTCTTCCATATGAATCAGATGCATTTTTGATGCATAAAATAAGGCATTCCGATGTCCTTAAGACATTGAGGATGCATTAAATACGCCGGGATGTCTTATAAAAGAGAGCTATGCCTAAAAACATGCAAAAAAGGGATGAATAATTCTATCTGAGATGAACAGAGAGGGTAAAAAGAATGTTAGTTTCTCTTCTTGGGTATAAACAGGTTAGAAAAAAAGAGTCAATTGTTTGTTAGTTATGGGACTTTTAACTTCCAGATATATTTCAGTATAAGTACTAATATATGTAAATGGACAAACTGCCGTTTTTCGGTTCTATTTAAACTTGATTAATTTATGTATTTGATCTGAACGAACTGAACATCATTAAACAGACAGCAACAGGTTAAAAATAAGAACCATACTAAGTTGAGAAGAATGAGCTAAGAGAAAATATTTAAAGAGACGATGCGAAACGTCTACCGGAGCATAGATAAAAAATCTAAGCAGACTTTCTGCTACAGTAAGAGATAGATATTGCTAAAAATCAGCAGATTTTGATAAAACGGAAGAAATTATCTACGAATAATGAAACTTACAGAATATAGATAATATTTCATGCAGAACCGATAAGAAATAGTTTTTAGGTTCCCAAGAACCCATGGTTGTCAGAAAACGTTTTAGATTTATGTTAAATTAGGAGTTTTTTACATAGAACTGGCGTTTATGCCAATATTAAGTCAGGGGACCGATCGAAACAGACGAGTGTTATCTTGTAGGGTTGTAGCAAACAAATCTAGTTTATTCTATTGACTTAATCGTTTGTTCAATAGTATGATAGTCACTATAATGACAGAAGAAACAATGCCGATAGGGTGGGTACTTTTTCTCTCTATTTCTTTTACTAGAGATGTCTTGACTATAGACACCAGGATGACTCGATGTCTAGCAAAGAGTTTCGATGCATTTCAAGGTCTTAAATGTGACTACATGATTTATCTGTGGCTTATGGGTGATTAGGGGTCTTGACCGTGGCTAGTGCATAGTGCATTTTTGATGTATTAGTGATGTCTATCAGATGCACTTACGCTATTTTTTTCAAATAGCTGCGACTTAGAGGTGTTTTTTCTAAGACATTAAGGCGACTAACAATAAAAAGATGAGAAAATGCATCTAACGTGCCTTCAAAACGTGGACGCATTTTGAAGCCAGGTGAGTGTTTTATCAAGGCACTTTTTTTTCACAGTGTAGTTAATAAATAAATAGCAGAAATTTTTGCAATGTAAGAGAACGAGAGTTAAGATAGACAATGTATAGGCCTGCCAGAACGGATGAATACAGATTATATTAGGGATACCTCCTCATTTCTCACATTGTCACAGAATCATAACAATAAATCACAAGAAGATTAAACTTTCACCAATGCAAATAGAGTAGCCGTATTTTTTACTCAAACCTCTAGAGTCATTTTTGGGTAAGGCTTTTCATTACACGTGAAGTTATCCTATCGGAATTTTATCCGTTCGGCTTTAAATTTTGACCCCAGATAATAGATACATACACACTCAAGCGCTTTCTGATTAATCCTTCTCCGATGTTTTGCCTTCGGCGGAGAAGGACAATACGGATGACTCCGAGTCTTCACACAGGGCTTTGAGGTGATCACTCGTGCTAAATACAAAGAGAACAACAAAGGCAAGTTCATGCGCAATAGCATAAATCCTTGAAAAAACATATTTCGAAAAAAACGCAAAACAAGTTTTTAGTGCTACAATCGCTTTAAATCATTGTCCTTTTGGACCAAACTTTGCGCAGAACGTAGGTAAGCATCAATACTGATTCTAGTAGACATATTCGCAAACTAAGGCGACATATGCCCGAGCCTGTACGGACATATGCTACAGCTACATTTTCTAATTGAGGGTAGAGAAGTAATTTTTAGAACAAATGGAGCATGCTGAATTCGGGGCACAGGACAGTGTCATGAAGGGCCCTGTATAAGTACATTGACTGCTTTTCTCTATGAATAACTTCTACATATGAAGCAGCTCACTTTTATTTAGGATTTGTCTCCTGCGTCGCTTCTAAAGCTTTTTTCTGGCGAGTAATCAAATTATTTTACCTTTCTATAAGGATTAGAAAACTGCATGGCTTAATTTTTCCATGCAGGTATTGATTATAATCAAAAACCTATATTTCTTTAAAATCATTTTGAGTAGGTAGAAAAAAGTTAAAAAATCGGCTCTTTTACCTTTTACGGCTTCCAGGAAACTTGGTGAAAAATCATGAAAACGCACTTTTCAACGTGAAGACAAAATTAAAGTAATGGAAAGAGGAGACTTCGAGCTAAAAAGCTATCTACTTTTCTAAAAATCGAATTTCCTCACTTTATTTGAAAAATAAGAGGAGTATCCCTCAGATCTTTCGTTTTCCACATATTCATAGGCTTGTGTTACACTATAGATTTGATTGAATAATGCAAGGTATACGTGCTGGCTGCATTACGTCTGCAGTATTAACAATACTAGCTGGTATCATAATTGTTATTGCTGGTGCATCTATATCTAGTAAAAATACACCATACCGTGACTACTGGCCAGAACTGTATAGCCTACCAATCTATGCAGCTGTTGTAGGAGGACTGGCTATCATTCTTTCGGCGGGGTTACTTTATGTTATAACAAGACAATTTCCGGCTTTAACAACGGTCGTCTCTATAGGTTTAATTGTTGTTGCCATATTAGCATTAATTTCCGGTGCTCTTGATATTGCTGGACGTGCTCATATTCGCTCAAGAACTTTAAATACTACGAAGTATTTGGTGAGTAATTTTTATGCAAACAATTCTGACACTCAAGAAGTATATAATCGATTACAACAAACATACAAATGCTGTGGTATTATTGATGCATTCGACTGGTCAAAACTGGATCCCACTACATCATCAGTACCTGATTCATGTTGCATTAAAATGTCACCCGGATGTGGCTATAATCAACTGGTGCAACAAAATCACATTTATTTAAGTGGATGTGCTGAAATCGTAGGAAATGCATATTCGTTGCATTATGCTACACTTATTGTTTTCAGTTTTCTTGTCATGGTGTTTTGCATCACAGAAGCAATAACAGGATTTTTGTTTGAAAGTCACATCAGACAACGTTATGAACTTATGTAGCATTGACCTGTCACTTCTATATATTGAACATTTACTTTCTTTTAGTATTTTATAGCATACGGTGTTTTCTTTCTGTGGCTCGAATAGACACGAATATTTTAAGAAATATTCTCACTTTAATCAACATTTGAAAACTGCGTTTTTTGTAATTTATCAGTAGTCAGCAAGCTTAGTTCTTCATAGAAAATAAACTCTGCATTCACGTGTACAACTGGTAATAATGTACCATCGGCCTTCCATTCTGAGAGCTTCATTGACGTGCAATTCGTGATAGAAACAATGAATTCTCAAATGAATATTTCACTTTTTCTACAAATAATTTCTGAATTTGTTAAACACCGAAAAGAACACTTATCACTACATTTCAACCTTTTTCATCGTTTTCTTCCTCAAATCCAGAGACAATTTGAAAACGGTTTTTGCCACTTCGACCATTCTCTCCTTTCTTTAACAATCGATCCGAGAACTACAACAAGCAAGAACTTCATACAATGTAAATACATTTCTAACGCCTCTAGTAATTGCATTGTATGAAGTTGTTGCTTACTTTAAAAATTCACTTCTGTCACACCGTGTTCAAATCCCTCATTTACTTTTTGTTTCTTTTTAGAACAAACCTTATATGTTGCTCAACTTGAGATTGTGTAAGATGTGTTTCTCGTTCTTTACTCCCTTCTGTATCTACCAGAGGTCTCAAATTATTTTTTTCGAATGTGGGACAGAAAGTTCCGAATGGGAGACAAAATGGGGGACGCCTATTTGAACGGAATAACGTCATGTCAATCTAAAATACCCGATAGCTCAACCAAAGTCACATATTGCAAATAAATTAAAATCAATATCATGAATTTTTTAATCAATTATCGTTAGAATTACACTGTCGTTTCGTCTTATAGTTCTAATTTAGAGTTCATTCTTTCAAAGCTAATTTTTCAAATTTCAAACCATAGATTTTTCCTTTCAATTATGTTTTATCGACAAATTCATATTACACATCTGATAAACCCTGAGACGCACACGACAGGAAGAGTGATGTTTTGGGGGACGGCTCGAATCTCAGAATAACTCTATTAGCTACAAACTATCCAAACATCTATATGATAATGGTCTTTATGAAAGATATACTAAAGAAGACATAAATCTTTGCATTTTCTGTAAAAACCCACTAATCTTTTCCTCTCAAATATGACGCAGAAGTAGTATGAATTCAAAAAAATTACCCGTGGGGGACAAAATATGTCCCGTATGAGGGATAAAATGGTCGAATGGAGGACTGTTTCCCTCAATGACGGACATTTGAGAACCCAAGCATCTGCACATGTGGAGAAAAACGATTTGCACAGGAGGTGGAAGAAACTCAGAAGACCATAAAAAGTGTCATATGTACCACTAGATTGGTATCACTTAATGACAAGAAAACAGGACTACTGAGACAAATGACGCGAAGCGCGTCAAGGTGGATAGTTTGAAAAAGAGAAACATCGACGGGCACAAAAAGCTATTTTGGTACACCATCATGATGTCTTTGTTGTTATGAGGACGAAACAAAAGAATTATTTTGTTACAAAAAAACACTATTGCTCGACATCGAAATTATTACAATTGAATAAGACATGTAAAACAATGCTTCGCAGGAGGTCCAAACCGAGGCGTACGAAACAAATAATAACACATCATCAGAAAATGTTCCTACAAGCAAAAGTTCATACTATTATAAATTGCTAGTTGAATTGTCATGTGCTCATTCCCAATAGATTTGATACCAAATTCATTTAACAAGTATATGCCACCTTAGCATCCATGACCTCCTCTATTTTATTATCCTACAACCTTCGTTTTAAGCGTGATGTTCGCATAGAACTAGATATCTTCTTCCAAACGGAGAAGAGTGGGATACGGTTGTGGAGTCGTGCGTCAGAATGATCATTCCCGCAGCATTTTCTTGTTAGATCATAGTTAACATAAACATCTCTCTGACGTATGAAAAGCCTAGCGTAGAGATGTTTCTTCGTTGCATCACTCTTGCTGTCTCTACCACAAAGTCGAGTTTTCTTTTTCATGGTGTTTTCTTTCTCAGAATAATGCGATTTGTTGTTGTCCTGGTCCGGTCGGACTTTGATCGAGATCGTAACTATCTCGTATTCATTCTTTCCGGAATCGGAATTTCAGCTAAGAATATTTTTGGACGATTTCGTGACAAGAGCAAAAAAGTTTACCTCTTTTCCATACGTAAGATGCACCTAAGACAAAGGAGTAGTGAAAAAAAAATCTTGATGTTTTTATTGGCGTGTCCGATAGAGAATTGTGCGCTGATCACGAATATGTGCACCTTATTTTTTCTGGAAGACCGAACATAGAATAAAAAGTAATAGGTTGTGAATGATTTATGTGTGCCACGCAATTTTCAAAAGTCATAATTTTGAGGTTAAACAATATTAGATTCATACTTTAGCAAAGATTCTCTCTGCTACT